CATCATCCATCTTCATATACAGCCTATGATGTTGACATCTGTCCTGACAGATGTGATCACAAATGAACAGTTTAAAGACTGACTTTTCAAGGCTGCATCCTGAATGTGTCTCACTTCCGTGCTCTTTGTACCAAAACACATGACAGTTCAAAGACAAAATGATGTTTTTCTGCAGTCTGAGTTTTCAGATGAGTCTGTGGTGATGCAGTAAAGAACTATACTTGTGAACAAGTATCCATGGTCACTGACACTGTCCATTAGGAGTCACAGAGGATGGAGGTTTCTCTCTGGGTTTTAGTTAGGGGTTGATTATTGTTAATGCAGGGTTTGGCATTTGGGATTATTTGTTGACGGTTACGGTAATGGCAGCAGAACTCCTGTAATGACGACGGCCCTCTGATCTCAGCCATTACACAACTAACCCTGCAGTTGTGTAATGTCTTCCACTGGATGCCATTACACAACTACTGAGGAAAGCACAGGTTTAATGAATAAATTTAATGATGGCTGCATTTTATGTGGGTGATTCAATTCCAGGTTCCTGCTTCAACCCTCGCAGGCGGTCCAGCATGGCTCGCTGCAACACGAGCCAGAGCAGACATTAATGTGAATAGTCACACCTGTGTTCATCAGCCACATCTGCAGGGAAGGAGGTGTGTGTCGACTGGGCTGGTCTCAAAAACACTGTGGAGTACAATGAAAGTCAGATTTCTGTCAGTCAAGATTATTTTGCAGTGAACTCTGGGTAAATGAAGACTTTTTCCAAATAAAAAAAACGTGGCTGGCTGATTAAACACGTGACACCCGTCAGCTCTGCTCACTGCAGGACCTACCCACTAAAACTTTCAGAAAAATGCACAAGAATATTTCATTGGTAAAATTCAGTTAGGAGAATTACAATACAAAATCTAGTGATGAAATTAATGCAAAACAGGTCTGTATCAGAGATGCTTCTTCTAACTCATCATTTTTTTGTGAATTTCCCCACTGAGGGACAATAAAGGAAATCTAAATCTAAATCTAAATCATCCAGGCTCAGGATAGTTTGGTCAAATAAGAACGGCTGATCATCACCTCACCACTGCGCAAATGTTTTACATTTTTCAGTCTTTAGTGACACAGAAGAAGTTCAAGTCCAGTGAACAATCTCAAATGATAAAATGTAAGCAGCAAACTGGTCAAAAGGTTAGGTCGATCAAAACTCAAAATCATGGAAGGGTCAGCTAGGGTCAAATATTTTTAAAGTGGAAACAGTGGTCAAAATATATTCAAAGATGTGTCTAAATTCAGGGGCTGCATCCTTCCATGAACTAACATGAGATCTACGGAGGATTTCCTGTTTGTGTTAACAGCTTGCCCTTCCCTTACCATAATTCTTATGCAGCTCTGCTTCTGCATAGCTTGCTTGTTAGCTTTATCACCGACACGCAATGAATCCTGGGATGGGTTAACCTGAGTCAGGATTGTTTCCCTGAAACTTTTGAAATCATGTACATTAAATCAGTTAAGCAAATGCAGATCATGAACATGTAATGATATGAAATCAAATCATTTGTTCACAATAAGGAAAAATAGGATTTGTAATGATACCAGAAAAGCCAAATATAGTTATTAACATAATCTGCAAAAAGAGGGACATAAGTAAATACTGTACTAACTCCATATCACACATTTTCCACAGAAACTTGTGAAATAATAGTGCATCTACTCACTGTGCAGGGATGTGATCAGGCTCTGTGAACATGTTGTGCACCAGTTTTGCACTTATGTAAACACAGTGGTCAGCTGTTGTTCACAGTCCACAGGAGAGATGTGTGTGCAGAGGAGGAGATGGGGAGCTGTGGGAGAGCAAGCTACATGTGTCACACTGTTTCTCAACTGTGCCAATGCCACATGACACACTTGGTGAACTTTGAACACAACATGCAAACACAGACGATCGCAAATACAGGTTATCCAAGTAAACAGCCTGTAGACATGAAGAGCAAGAGAGGAAAGGAGGAGGAGGTGTGATGAATAGTGAACGATGACGACAGATGACAGAAACAGACTAAGACAAGGCAGGAGAGAATGTGTTTGACAGGAAAATACAGAAAGGGGAAGAGAGTGATAAGGAAAGGAAGGAAAAGAGGAAGGATTGTGTTATGAGAGCAGGGGAACAGACAGAGATAAAGCACGTCCAGCAGCTTCACTCCTTCAGTCAAGATTCCAGTGAGTGTGTGTCAGTCTGTTGGAGTCTACATTATTTGTCTGTATGTTTTTTTAGAGGAAAATTCAGTTCTGTCACAATCTGAGGATTCAGCTGATTCAGGCTTAAAGTTTGATATGGTCGGGGTTGAGGTTTGAGCAGGGACAGAGTCAAAATGTGGCACACAGCTGGCACACACACACACACACACACACACACACACACAGATCTGTAAATCAATGTGGTGCTTTTAAAGTTCAAGAACATTTACTAAAGAAAAACACTTCCCAGTCTGATAAATGTGGCGGAGGGAGCTTCACATGTTGCAATCTTCTGTTTCTCTTTTTAACTGTCACTTTGATTATTTATCTGTTAGTGTTTTTCTCTCTCCTCCTCCCCATCTGTGCCATCATCTAATGTTCTTTACTTCTCTTTTCTTCTCATTCTCTGAACTTCTGTCTCTTTTTTGAACACACACACACACACACACACACACACACACACACACACACAC